TGTCTTAATTATCATGTTTGGATTTGTCGTTTGCCTTCGTCATCTATTCACAATACGTGATACCCAATTTAGTGTATGGGAAGTTAGCGCAATGGCCGTGAGCATGCTATGAGCGTGGTATGCTGTAATGTTTTTACATGACATGCGTGTTTAGATTATCAAGCTTGCACCAGTCATATACCTTCGTCATTCATTGACATCACGTAACACTAAATTCGGTATATGTCGAGCTAGCGAAACGACCGTGAGCGCGTCGTGAAGGGCTCACTGTACTCCAACGGAAGGTTGACTCACGCGCACGCTAGGCACAGCGACGGACGCCAGGCGTAACCGGAGCGGCCAGCGTCCGTCGGCGCGGCCCGTCGGCAACCGGCTTGAAATGCGACATGCTGAATTTCGAGCCGATGTGTTTGTTGCCCAGACAACACTGCCTCTTTTCGTGACGGAGGGATGCCGGACGCGCTAAAACGCGATGTTTATGGAAGGACCGGCGCCTGGCGTGGGAACACTGGCGTGACGCGACGAGACGAATACCGGCGCGCACGTGCGCCGGGTTATGCCGAGATGTATTGGCGCTTTGACTGTGGCATGGGCATGTAGTCATGTTCTCATATGACACGCATCTCACGTTTAAAATGTTCGTACTAGTATCATGACTTCGTCATCCAATAACGCCCCGTAATACCAAATTTGGTATAATTGAAGCTGGCGAAAAGGCCGCCTGCGCATCATGAGCATGGCATGTAGTCATGTTTTTACATGACACGCATCTCATGATTATCATGTTTGCACCAGTCACATAACTTCATCATCCGTTAACGTACTGTGATTCTAAATTTGGTATAACTGAAGCTAGCGAAACGGCCGTGAGCGCATCATGAGCGTCGATAGTAGTCATGTTGTTACATGACACGCATGTCATGATTTTCATGTTATGGTCTGTCCCTTGTGTTTGCCATGCAATCATGCCATATCATACCCCTTTTGCAACATGCTATGTGAACGAAATCACCAGAAAAGCCGGAAGACCATGAAATGTAAATCATGACATTCATGACATACATATCATGATTCTCAAGTTATGACTAGTCAAATACGTTTTTTATGCAGTAATGTTATGCCATACCAAGTTTGTTATAGATACCAATATCGAAACGGCCAGGAGAGCTAAAAGCCGTAGATAGATAGATAGATAGATAGATAGATAGATAGATAGATAGATAGATAGATAGATAGATAGATAGATAGATAGATAGATAGATAGATAGATAGATAGATAGATAGATAGATAGATAGATAGATAGATAGATAGATAGATAGATAGATAGATAGATAGATAGATAGATAGATAGATAGATAGATAGATAGATAGATAGATAGATAGATAGATAGATATAGATAGATAGATAGATAGATAGATAGATAGATAGATAGATAGATAGATAGATAGATAGATAGATAGATAGATAGATAGATAGATAGATAGATAGATAGATAGATAGATAGATACGCTCAAAGTCGCGAAAATTCACTATGAAATGCCTCGCCTTTGAAACACCAATGACACAATAGGATTTGAATCCGAGTCCGCTGCATTCCATGCTAGTATTCCACCACTGAGCCAGGCCAGTTTATTTTTTTCATAAAACTTGTTTCTAAACTGGCCTTTGGCAGGCTTCATGTCGGGTAAATAATTGCTGTAATACGAGTAATAAAGCGTTTTAGAACATCAAAGGAATAGCCAAGCGTCGCACAATGCGAATTGAGTAACTACTTGGTCATCCAATGCACAAAGTCATAAAACAAACGTGTTCTTTATCACCGTAAACTATGCCGCATACCCATTTCATGCATATGTCTTCATCATCATCAGCAACAGCACTAAAGAGTTGTACAAAATATCGTGGCGGATACCGCGTGCGCTTCTGCAAATAATGTCGCAAGATAGCATGATTGCTGGCCTACTGCACAAAATTGATCATTATTTATGGTGCTGTGGGTATCCAGCAGTGCGCTTGCAGCATCCGAAAAAGTGTTCAGAAAAGGCTTTGAAAGGCCGCTCTTCTAGCCTTCGCTGCGGCTGTGCTGCGCTTCCGCGCAGGCCTGGCGTTTTCTCGACGTGCTTAAACGTTAAGTTAAAAAAATAAAGCATATGTGAATTAAAGTCCCTCCCACTTTCCCTTATTTCCTAAGAATAATATACTAGTGCTTTAGTAGCTCTAACAAAACGCACGGCCGCAAGCGCCCAGAGCAGTACGGCGCTACAAGGCAGGCACCGCCTACTTTTCTATGAGCAATATGGCCGCCGCGGCTTCACTTCGATACATGGGCTGGTATGCGGGACCGTGACTCCAGAAGTTTTATTATAACCTCCGAGTTCCCAATTGCCGCGCTTCCCAGCAGAACCAACAATTATCGCCTCACGTGCCCGGCTACCACGAGAGGGCGCATTGAGTAAGGGTTCCAGCGGCTAAAGTTGCACGGCGGGCTTGTTGGTTATTCATGTTGTTCGAGGTATAGCGCATCTCGGACAGGACAGAGAAGAAGACACAGAACACATACACGGCGTGGTGGTTGAGAGAATGGCATACAACAGAGCGCACGTGAATCCAACGTGCGCATGGTTTGTTTTTCCACCTACGAGCAAAATTCACCGCCAGGATCTTTTGGCTGAACTGAAGGAAAGTATTTTTTTCTGATTCTGCATTTATTTTGGTCCAATTTGTGAAGAAAAGAATGATGACTGTCGAATTTTCCTGATAGGTAATTTTAACGAGGTATCAATTCGTCTATGGCACTATTATTCTTTTTATTGTGGCTTGTTTTGTCTCTATGCTGAACACCTTGATTTGAGAAATATAGAGACAGTCTATCATTCTTCTGTTTCTCTGGAGACTTGCATGGGGGAAAACTGAACTAATTATAGTCGTCGAATCATATTGCTCTCTTGCCCTGACTTATAACTCTACTATTATATCGCTTACAGATATTTATGAGGTGGTCTACCAAAGTACAGTTACGTTCTAGGTAATAGGATGTCCCAGTAAGGTTCTCAAAATAAGGTGCTTGTGAAAATATTTTGCCGTAATATTGTATAGGGCTTCGATTAACCGACGTACACTTTCACTCTCCGCGTCTTTCAGAGCGAAAGTGCCCAAGTTGTCCTGGTTTCTTTCAACGCCATTTGAATTTTGATTTGGTAGCACAATAGCAATGTCTCGACTGCGTCCAAATAAAAAAATCGCACATGTGAAATAACGGCGTCTTTCTAAGGAAAACTGAGTATTCGCCAAGATAGGCTACTAAAAAAAAAGTTCAAACTTTCACTGCTATGTAATACGGAAGTGTTTCATACCAGATACACCTAACTCAGAGCGCGTGTTGTGTACTTGTTGAACAAGCAAAACATTTTGAAGTTCGTTCTTACATTGGCCAACCTATCCACTAAACACCGTAAACATTACAGTGGGAAAAAGCGACCACAAGTGACCAAAACGTGCTTCTAACCAGCCAGTGGTCATCACACATTCAGCGACGTTCCGTCTAGACACAGTGTAGACGCATGGCAACCACCTGCACCCTCCTCCCTGTATCCTGCTTCTGCGGCTCGACGGGAGGATTCTTGAAACAGCGTTACAATGAAAAGCAGCGCTAGTTGCATCAAAGGAAAAAAGAAACAACAATTTCATTTGAGTGCGTTCCGTGAGCGTAGAACACGGCACTCCCCTGACTTCTCTTGCTGATCGGGCTGTTATTTCTTTTTCTTCGCCAGTGTCCTTCATGCTATACAGCCTGCAAATTTCGATGTATTGTAAGTTTCTAGCACATGCAGGTCTCTTGCAGAGGCATCGCAAATATAGGTGCTCAACTTAAGGGCGGCGCAAATATACATAAAAAATCAGGGAGGACAACACCGACTTTATTGGCGGCACATGGAAAAGGCATATCTCCTGCAGTTGGTGTACACAGGCTGATGGTAATGATGATACACCGACACGATCAACCTGCAATGCTCCCATTGTGGCTAAATAGCTATACTCTTTTACACTTTACCCCGCCGCTGTGGTCTAGTGGCTAAGGTACTCGGCTGCTGACCCGCAGGGCGCGGGTTCGAATCTCGGCTGTATTTCCGATGGAAGCGGAAATGTTGTAGGCCCGTGTGCCCAGATTTGGGTGCACGTTAAAGAACCCCAGGTGGTCTAAATTTCCCGAGCTCCCACTACGGCGTCTCTCATAATCATATAGTGGTTTTGGGACGTTAAACCCTACATATCAATCAATCAATCTTTTACACTTTCTCGGCCTGCAGGGAAGACTACCCCTCTTATGACCTCCTGGCCAATCGCTCGCTGGAGGGGTGGGAGATGCTTTTGATTTTTACCAGCCTCGCACTTCAGCTCCAGGCCACGCAAACGGCAGAGGAGGAGGCCATCAAGTTCAGACTCGTGGATTGGCTACCACTTTAAATCTGACGACAATAAAGCTTTGTTCTCTCTCTCTCTTTCTGTAAATCATATCAAGCTTTTTTATTAGGCCTGTAACATAGCGTACTCATTGTCATTATAATGCCTAGGTGAGATGGTGTTCCCGCAATAATGTATCTAAAACATAAACATCGAGAACTTCTGTATATATTGAAAACAACTATTTACGACATAAGAAAAGTTATGTTGTATCTTTGAAAATTTGTCCACTTTTAGCTGTGGTTGGTTGCTATTTTTTTTGCTGTGATAATTACTTAATTTCTATCAATTGCAATGCTGCTTATTCTATTATTTTAACTGCCTTTCAAAATAAGTTGTCTGTACAAGAAGGCGAACTAAAAGTGCTGGTGCCATTGGCGTATTGCCTTTTCTTCGTAATCGCATAATAAAACCATTTTGCGAAATCAGCTCCATTTCAGTTGGCAGTGAACGATGCGATGTGACAAATTAGGTTTAACCTTCACTTTATTTCTTCTGAAGCTGACAATCTACATGACCAATTTTTTTACAGTGCAGGTGCGGCTACCATATTCGCAGACATCCTGAGCGTCTACAAAGCATCTTCCTGCCGGCTGCGCCTTGGTGACACTACTTTCGAAAGCAGAGCCTCGTTCTGTGGCACAGGAGCGGCCACATGTAGGGAAAACCAACTCGTACGTTAAACCTCAGTACTTGCCTGCAAGAAAAACGATTGACGAAGAAAGTGACTACGCAGCCCAAAACTAAAAAAAACATTCCTGAAACAGACAGTTTTGGCTCCCGCGCGACAGCTTTGTCCCGACACGTCACAGTATCAATTCAGATAGCGCTACATTTTCTCACGCTTGTTGTTCGCTGACCAAAAAAGATGCCATCCAATTCTTAGACTTAGTAAAGTTCTTAGGTTCTACAGCAAAAGCTCATTAGTTTAGAATACATGGGACCAAAAATATTCGAATTGACTGATTTCATGATTACCAAAAGCATCTAGAAAGCATTTAACAAACTTCTATAACGTCAATAATGTTTAATTTTCTTGATGAATAACTAAATACTGTGCATGCTTTGCGTAAAAAAACAATTTTCGCCACTCACATTTTTGTTCACAATGTTCCCAAGGCTCAAGACCTCCCTGTTGTAACTGATACTTAACGTCTCCACCCGCTACCTTGTTATCGGTGGCCCTACAGGTCGCGGTATTACAATGGAGATGCGGACTGCACCGCTTTAGTTCACTTGTCAGCGTACACCATTTTTACTCTTTTGCGTTGTACATTTCTCTGAGGATTGTCCAAATTAGTTGGGTTTTGACCAACTATGGTCCAATTGACGAGAGTTTGACGTCATCGAACAGTGGGCATGCTGCCTGGGGCCAGAGAAAGCGTTCGAATTATCCAATTTCCTAAATTAACGAGTGTCGAATAAACAAAAAACTTGCTTTTCTTGGAACTGGTTAGGTACTCAAGCAAGAACGTGCTGCGCAAAATTGAAAAAAACATTACAGGCTTCAACAACCGCCTTTCTTTCTTTTTTTGTATTTTTGGCAAAAAAGTTTCAGCAGAGAGTTGCCTCTGGTGGATTATTGCTTTATCGACAAAGCTTTTCGTAATCGATATTAGGATGAGCCGGTGAAATGTGTCTCTTCTTACCGCGCACCTTTTAAACTCTATCTGGTCGAAATGTTTGCGCCGTTATTACTCTTGGGGAAAAAATCACCAGATCGCACGTGAGTTGACAATCAATGTTATGCGAATCAGGCAAACGAAAGGTGACTGTTGTAATTCCTATATGCCTGCAAACGTTCCGAAGTGCCGCTAATAAAACTGCTACGAAGCGTACTCACAAGTGGAAACCGGTAGAAGCTGAACCAGAAGAGTAGAATGACGACGCTGCTTCTGCAATGATTTCAGTATTTATGCCTTCACTGTCATAAAAGTGCCCCTTCAAACCTTTCTTTTGAGTGTAACAGATTCATGGAAGGTGCGGGGTACGACAAACCTGACGACGGAAGCACTACTAACCGGACTTCACCACAGCCGCCGCCTTGCCGTTCTCTCGCCGTTGTCTATCGAGATGTCCCAGATGCAGCGCTCCGTTACTTCGAGGATGACACCCACGGGTTCCTTGCCATAATGCCAGGCTCCGTCAAACTTTGCCGGAATGCCTTGAGAGGAGCGTGGTGATTTGGGCTGGTTCGTATGACATGATGATTGTTATAGCGTGAGATAAGAACGACAAAAAGGGACAAGAAAAAAAAACAAGCGCTCGTCTTCTTGTTCCTTTGTCGTCGTTCTGATCTCGCGCTATAACATTCGTCGTATCTTGAGAGGACGTGGGTGACTGGCTAAAGAAATATAAGAAGGTGAGCGAGAGAACCACTCAGCAATGTTGTGTTTTCATTACCCCGCCGTGGTGGTCTAGTGGCTAAGGTACTCGGCTACTGGCCCGCAGGTCGCGGGTTCGAATCCCCGCTGTGGCGGCTGCATTTCCGATGGAGGCGGAAATGTTGTAGGCCCGTGTGCTCAGATTTGCGTGCACGTTAAATAACCCCAGGTGGTCGAGATTTCTGGAGCCCTCCACTACGGCACCTCTCATAATCATATGGTGGTTTTGGGACGTTAAACCCCACATATCAATCAACGTTGTGTTTTCATTGAAACAGTTCTCGTGTGGTAGAATAATCACGTATACATGCTCGAATTTCGAGATTGTTCTGTCAAAGAAGTAAAAAAATGTGTTTCGGAGATTACAAGGCGAATAGGAGTGGTGCGGAGCAGATATTTCATGAAATGGCATATCTTTGAGGAGAGACGTGCATCTCTCGCATTTAGAAAATATGAAAGCTGTGTCACACTGTGAATGCAGAAATGCCTGAAAAGGATGAAGTTAGACACATTTTGAAAGACATGGTCGAATATGCGTACATTTTTCTGATTGGAAAAGAGAGCTTGGCCTCTGTGTCTAACGGGATGAAGCATTGCCACTCACGTGAAGCACTGATGAGGGGACGGCTGGCGCCTCGATTTCGTCGCCTCTTTAACATCGCGATGGTGGCTATAGTGTCAGCACCAGATTTCGAGGGAAGAATCGCTTCAATGTTAGTGAATCCCCCACGTACCTCGACGCCCCAGCGACTTTCATGACGGCTACGTACGAGAGGCACAACCCGCATGAACTGCGGCTTCTCTATCTACATGGTAGTCATCAATTCATTCAGCAGATCCTAACGAATTCTACAAAGCCACACGGCAATGCTAGAGAAGCACACGTGACGAACGATGCTTGCTTCCACATCATTTTCCTCGACGACTGTCGGCTGGCTACGGCGCACGCGAAGAGTGCTACTACCATTCTAGGCCTACTCAGAGGAATCATCACCCTGAGTGCCACGAGCACCGACCACTCCCCATGTGCTACAGCTGTGGTGCCGAGGGTTATATATCACGTTTCATAACTAGCGTGTTTCATACGAGCGAGATCCTTTACCCTTAGCTACGCAGTTTTTGACCAGAAGTACTCTATACCAGCACAATCATGCACACCTGCGGGTTAACGGTACCCGTTACTGGCCTCCGATAGAAGCTTCACTCTGCCACCAGCTCCACGTGTTCCTTAATCTTCATCACCAAGGCATCGTATGCAATCACCACCGCCGAAAACTGGTCGGTGTGGCCAATGAGGGTGAAGTCATAGGATCCTAGGCACTATTAACAAATATTCCTCCGCCAGTGTGTACATAAAAAAACCCAGTTCACGTGCTTGTTGACGGCGTACTTAACATACTTGTAGATACACGGGCGACTACGTGTGTGATTAGTCTGAATTTCAAGAACACTCGGGCCTATGGCGATGTTTTGCTTGGGACATGGTGTGGCATTCCGTGGTGTGAGTGTTGACGCAATGTGTCCTGTGGGAGTTTCTACTGCCAATGTGTCAGTGTGTGGAGACGCGTCTACCACAAAATTTCCTGTCTTTGCGCAATCAACGCATGGTGTTATTTTGGGAATCGACTTAATGTCACCTAGTGTCATTTTAACTCGCTAGTCGCTGTTGCTCCACACTTAGTGTGGACCAACAGTTGACTGCAGAAGTGGACACCTATTCGTGCATTGCGCTCTTCGAGAATTCATCCCGTGATCACTGCGCGTTTCTTGTCTCCGTGGACATGGTCGTTCTGGTCTTCTCTGCCAAGCGCGTTTCACTCACTTGCCCTTGTAACGACCTTGCCATGTTCGACGCCCCGCTCCAAGCAATTCATTCAGCCTATGTGAAAAAGAACATTTTAGCTTCTAATTGTGTGGTGTAGGTAGTTAGGTCTGTGGGCAAACAACATTTAAATGGAGCCTGCAGTGCTGCCCGGTAGCGTGAAACTTCGCAGGCAGCACATAGGGCCGATATTGCTTTTACGGCGGCTATGCGAGGCCCAGTCTCGGTACATTGTTGCCGGGAATGGGCCACTATTCCCTGAGTCGATAGCAGTGGATGGCAATATTGGCCCGGTTTTAGTACTCTTCATGTGATATTGTACTCTAACCGACAATATTGAACCTCGTTTGCCGCTGTCTCGCCCATATCTGCTCAGCCGATGCAGCCTATGTCGACTGAGCCGTTGACTTTCACCGGCTAATATGAGGCCACTTAAGCCACTTTTCAGCAGACGTTCTCACTACCCTTGACATTAGGCGGCTAATAATGATCTCTCGTAGCATCCTAGGGCCAGTGTTGAGCTTAGTGATATTTTGCGGCAGTATTCGTCCACAGCTTATCCCGTTGTCTGTGCTCAACTGGATAATTAGGATACGTTCGATACGAGAAATTTCGAAAATCTATTCTTGTATCTACGTGTACGTCCGAGGCCGAGAATCATACGTGAGGGTCTAATTGTCCGAACATTTGCGGGGGTGTTTCTTGTAGATTTCTTAGCCGTTATGACTGTTCATACGGTATAATGTTTGACCGTTGATAGGTACGCCGTGGGATCAAATCCGCGCCATGGCAGCTGAACTGTCGATGTAGAAGAAAGTGTTTGAGGCCCATTTACTTTTAATTAGGAGCAAGTTAAAGAACCCCGCGTGGTAGAAATATCCGGCGCCCTTCACTATTTATTTATTTATTAGAATACCCTCAGGGCCCGTAGGGCATTACAGAGGGGGTGGGTACAACATTTATAACACACAAGAAAAAAAAGACAAAATAAAGAAACAAGTGTCAGATGCGCAAATCAGGAAGGCAACATAAGTCAACTAAAAATGTATAAGAATTCAAGCACATACAAGACAAAGATAGATAATGGAAACTGCGTATAGTTACAAGCATTGCTGAGAAATTGCAGTCTTGAATAACAAAGGGTCTGTTATTGTTACAACGGAAGAGGGAAGGTGGTTCCAATCGGCGGCTGTCCGAGGCCGCCGATTGGAACCACCGTCGTGTGTAATGATGATATTGTTGTTTTGGGACGCTAAACTCAAATAATCGTTAGAAGAAGTTTGGCCATGAACAATTTTTTATATTGTAGCACTGGCATACGGGAATATAGGATACACTCTATGGCAACCGGATAAAGCGAGCATTGTGCACTCGAATGCTTGTCGGCTAAGCTTTCGAAAGTGACTACACGGATTAGTGCACTCGTAAAAAGGAGTAATCGCACGTATTGCATTGTGCTACCAACGAC